GCTGCAGTCCTTGACCCTCTGCAGCATGCGCTTCAGGTCCTCCTCAGTTTCAGCAAGCAGGGTTGTGTCATCTGCATAACACAGATTGTTGATGAATCTTCCACCAATCCTGACCCCACATTTCTTCTCATAGAGCCCCGCCTCCTGGGTAATCTGTTCTTCATACAGGTTGAAAGGTATGGAGACAGGACACATCCCTGGCATATGCCCTTCCCATTTTTGAACCATGCAGTCTTTCCTTGCTCTGTCCTGATGACTACCTCTTGGTCCAAGTATACGTTTCGCATTCACATGATCAAGTGTTCTGGGATTCCCATTCTTCTCAGAGTCAGCCACAGTTTGTTATGATCCACACAGTCAAACACCTTTGCATAATCAATGAAACACAGATATACATTCCTCTGGTACTCCCTGCTTTCAGCTAAGATCCATCTAACAATAGCTATAATATCCCTAGTACCACTACCCCTTCTATACTCAGCCTGGACTTCTGGCAGTTCTCTGCTGATGTGCTGTTTCAGTCGTTTTTGGATAATCTTCAGTAGAATCTTGCTTGCATGTGAAATCAGTAATAAAAATAACATATTGTAGTCATATTTTCCAAAATGGAAGATAAGAATAGAATACTAAAAGCAGTGCAAGGTTTTTCAGAGCTAGAAAAGGTAAATGGCAAGTTTATCTGTAGAGGAAAGAGACCTCAAATAAGCAAAACACTTCTGAAAAACAAAAATGAAGTAGGAGGCATTGCACTCCCTGATCTCAAAACCTACTAAACAGCTTTAGTAACCAAAGAAACATGGTACTGGTACAACGACATGAGCATAGACCAAAGGAATAGAATTGAGAACCCAAAAATTAATACATCTATCTCTGGTCAACTGATACTCAACAAGGCGGGGGGGGGGCTAATCAAATGATGAAACAACAACCTCTTCAACAAGTGGTACTGGCAAAACTGGACTATTACCTGCAGAAAGCTGAAGCAAGATGTACACCTCTCACCATTCACAAAAGTCACCTCAAGGTATGGATCAGAGACCCAGGGGTAAAGCCTAAAACCATAAAGTTTACATAAGACAAAGTAAGACCAAACTTAGAAGGCCTGTTGTTGTTGTTGTTGTTGTGTGCCGTCAAGTTGCTTGTGACTCATAGCGAACCTATGTACAAGACCTACTCTATCCTGTGCCAACCTCACTCTCTCTGACACACCTACTCCCATTACCCTAATCATTGAATCAATCCATCTCATCAAGAATCTTCCTCTCTTGTGCTGTCCCTCCACTGTCCCAAACATGATGTCCATCTCCAAGGACAAGTTCTTCCTTGCAAAAGGCCCAAGTATGTCAGATGAAACTTCAGAATCCTTGCCTCCAAGAAGCATCCCAGTTTACCCTCTCTGGGACAAACCTGTTTGTTCTAGCAGTCCATGGTATATTCAACACTCTTCTTCAGCACCAAAAGGTATCAATTCTCTTTCTATCATCCCTAGTGATTGTCCAGCTCTCTCTGTTCCACTTAGAAGGCGTAGCTCATGGTATAAAAAAGGTTGACAGAGAGAGCCAGAAAGACAAAACCAGAAGAGGATAAAATTGATGAAAGGGACCTTCTAAAGATTAAATCCTTGTGTGAAAAAACCCCAAACCACAACAACAACAAACACGAAAACCCAAAAAACCCAACATTTTCCAACAGAGTGAAGAGAAAACCTACTGACTGGGAAAAACACTTGGAAATACCATGTCAGACAAGGGTCTCATATTAAAATTTTATACAAAAGAAATACTTATAACACAATTGCAAAATGAACAAAGATGTGGGAATATTTTCACAAAGGAAGATAATTAGATGGCCAACAGACACATGAAGAAATGCTCAAAATCACTGCAGTAAGAGGGATGAAAATCAAAACCACAATGAGATATCATCTCACTACAGCAGCAGTGGCAAAGTTTAGCAGGAGATCGAGTAATAAATGTTATAAAGGATGTGGTGAGATAGAAACTCCTATACTGTTGGTGGGATTGTATAATGGTACAAGTACTCTGGAAGGCAGTTTGGCATTTCCACAAAAAGCTGAACATAGAAATTCCATATGACCCAATTATTCCACTGCTACTGAGACACAAATGGAAACTTATACAGCAATGTTCATAGCAGCTTATTCACCATTGTAAGAACTTGGAAACAGCCCAAATGTCCAACCACATTCTAATGGATTGAGAAATCATGGTACATTCACATAATGGAATATTGGGCAGCTCTCAGGAGGAATAATTTTGAAAATCACTACCTAATTCTGGAGGGAATGGAGAGCATTAGGGTAAGTGAACTAATTCAGTCCCATATGGACAAATACTGTATAAAACCATTATTTTAGAAATAGAAAGATAGCTAGTAAAATATGTATGAGGATCCAAGGTGGAGGAGGTTAGGAGCAGAGGGGTGAGGATGGGCAGGGGGGTAATCATAGGGCTGTACAATGTGATGGGTAGAGGGAGGAGTGGGTAAAGGAAATGGGAAAGATCTTGTGTGAAAATAACGTATACTAACTCTATAAGTAAGCAAATA